ACATCAGTATTTAACTCTACTTTAGGTAAAACTCAAAGTTGAGTTTTCAAAGGTGTGATAGTTTTTAAAATACATCAGTATTTAACTCTACTTTACTCGTCTTATTAGGAGTGAAGAGAAAATAGCCTGTGGTTAGTCCAGCATAAATCAGTGATTTCAAATAAATGAGTATTGTGTTATCTCTGGTATAGGAATTTCCATAAAAGACTTCTACTTTTGGTTAAACTTTTTTTTTTTTAAACAACCTCCCTCTCCAGAGTCAAGACTTTTGGATGTCACTGGAAAGTTGTGGTTCTTTATATACAATGCAGCTTACATTTCATGGAGTACATGCATTTTCAAGTGGTTTGGGTTATTACCAGTGTGTTTTAAAAAGTAACGTGTGTATGTATGTGTATATATTCTGTACACACATGTATAGTCTAATGTATTTCGGAGGCAATTTTAATGAATTACCATGTGTATAGAAAAAGAAGAGCTGTCATTTGACCCATAGGTAGGGGTGTGTGTGTGTGTGTAATCTTAATAATTACTTACCCAGTAATGTGATTTGACATCAAATTGCAGCAATTAATTTCTTGGTGCTAGTCATCTGCATGACAGGTGCATGACAAATACAAATGACTAGCACTTGTCTGTAGGTGGAAAGCTAGTTACTCCTGTGGCTCAAGAAGGAAAAAAAAGACAGACTTATCTTCCCTCTTTCATAAACAGCACAGAAGAATAATACGTGCAGTACATGCTCTTATTCTGGAGTTGTGACTGGGAGGCGTGGGGGCTGAGAACAGGACTTTTTTTTTTTTTTTTTTTTTTTTAAATCCTGTTTTCCCTTTAGTTACATAGTTTTCTTAATGTGTTCTGTGTCACCTATTTTTTTTAACATTAATAAGTCCTAAATCAAAGGTTTTGTACTCTTCTATTCTGTCTACTGATTGCTTTTTTGGATGGTAGCCATTCTCTGGTGCACTTGTACAGAAAACTTCACCATGGAAAGTTGTGCTTGACCTTTCAGTCTGATCGTTTTTTTCATCTTGGCATAATAAGGCTGCTGTGTCGTCATCCTTCAGCGGAAAAGCCCTTCGTTCCCACCACAAAGACTGAAAGGAAAAACATTTCAGTTAAGTTTCTACCATTTGTTCTGTTTAAATTCACTTATCAAGTAATCGGTAAATGTTAGTTTTGTAGCAACTATTGTTCTGTTCTTTTAATGCATAAATGTACAAATGTATGGATCTAAATATCTAGCAAGTCAAAATATAATGTAAAGAAAATAGTGCAGCAACCTTTGGGAGTTATTTTTTCACTTGGCCTCTGCGAGGAAGAGAATATGCTGCCATAGGGCACTGGTCTTCATTTTCAGCCTGTAAAGAAAGCATTGTGGGAAAGCCCCATAAAAGTATTTTTAAGTTTGCTCTTCTACTCCTACTCTACTCCTGCTTCAGTATCTTCATTTCTGTTCCATCAGACACCTACTGACATTTCCTTCCCTAAGCTTTTGCAACTTGCCTATCAATTTCTGTAGTCTCCACTCTCTCCATTCTAGACATGGTTTTTCTCTGCCAACACCTAATTATGAAAATTACATGACTTCAGGAATGCAGTGTTAGAAAAGACTCCTTGAGGTTAGAACTGGATCTAGGGGGAGGCAAGTAAAAATCTTATAGAGAGGAGAAGAAAAAGCAGCTAACATTTACTATAATTCTGTTTATCAGATTTGTTTCATAAGCAAACTTTCATAGAATCCCCATTCCCTAATAAGGTAAGTAGGTGGAAGTTTCTGCAGGCACCTTACACAAGGAGATAGTGTTTGTAGTTACTGGTGGAACTAGAATGCAGGACTGTACATCCCGATTCTGACCCAGCATTCTATACCGGATTGTTGTACTGAATTTTATGTAACAATGAATCCTTTATTTTCAATAAGCAATTTCTAGAACAAGCTGAAAAAAAAAAAAAGGTTAAAAAAGTAGTTTAACTAGTCACGTACTTACCTTGGTTTCTTGACTTTCATTTAATGAAGGGGAGCCATGTGCACAGGGATCATGACTTTCTGAAGGAAGCTCAGGAGGACTCTGAGCAGCACAGTACTGACCACTACTGAAGTCATTAGTGTATTCTTTCCAAAGCAAGTCCTGTCCTTCAGCATTTTTATTGAAAGCTCTAACAAAATCAAGAAAATGGATAATTTACTATTTCTTGAGGAGTTAACATTTGATGAACAACCCAAGTCAAGTTCACTTGGTAGCTTTTCTTCCCTTCGCAGTTCTGACCCAAAATACTTAAAAAAATTCATATGCTGATCTTCCTAATACTATCATTTTCATTTCTCAGAGGCTTAAATACTACTTTATGAAATCCTCTGCTAAATTATAATAGTGGTTTGTTTTGTTTTGTTTGTTTGCTTCTGTTTTTAGGAAGACAAGAAAGGGCAATTACTTGACCCTTACAGTCTGAGTTCTCATGATATTCTTTGATCACTGTAATGTCACCCATGAGGACTCAATTCACATTTTTCTCTATACTTCTGGAAAGCTGTATCTCTGTAATGTGGAAAAAGATAAGAACTGAATCTCATATGTTAATTAAGGTAATTTTTGGAATGATGGATCAACATAGCAAATCTGGGTATCTTGATGCCTAAACAGAGAAATGTGTTTTAATGATACTAATCCTGTAAGAGATTCCCCTTCACTAAAGTGATTTCTAGACTTCACATGATGTTGCTTTTTGAGGTTTGGTTATATTAAAAATAATCAAATGTCAATATAAAATGCCTATCTCCATCGTTTTCAAAATTGTCATTTCAGGGATTCTTTCAGATACATAATTATTAACTATGTCTTTACGGTTTATTCTCCCTTCCTTTAGTCTACTTGTGTTTTTCGAGGTATTTTAGGCTATTTGCTTTTTAGATTGGACAAGTTTCTTGAGGAAAAAAAAAATTCAAGAAAAACGTATTTTTAAAGTATTTACTTTAAAACAGATTACTCTCTACTATTCCTGAGGCTGACAATGAACGTAAGAAATAGAATGGAATAAAATACAGAAATTTATTTCATCATTATGTAATTAGTCTGAATATATTTTTAATATAAGCTCAGTCTATGCATTGTTTCACCTCTAGTGCACAAGTAGCTGATGTTTTACATAATTATGTTTTCTTCCTTTTTAGTGGCCTCCCTCAGAATTCATGCAGAATATTTATCACTCTGCATGGATACCATGGTTTTGGGTTTAAATTTTATAACACCTGCCTGCTGTTTCTTCTGTGCCACTTGCTTTGCTCCCATAGTGACCACCTGGCTTGCTCTCTCTCTTCATATGTTTTGTGTCTTAGGGAGAAGACTTCATCAGAAAGATCTTCTATCTGGAATTAGAAATAAAAAATGACTGTTGCTTTTATTAGAAACATTGTAAGAAATGAGGTTAGGTTACAAACAGTTCTTTATTAAGAGAACATTAGGAAGAAAACTTTAAAATAAATGTGATCTGTCTAAGCCAAGAGAACAAATGATAGGAGATGAGTGTGAAATTCCTGCAAAGAGGGAGTTGAAAAGTTAATAACTTTTTACTGCTGGGTTATATTTTAAGATTTACCTAGATTACAGATAGGTTCACTGTGCTTACCATTTGCCACTGCTTACTTAAAATACTATTCTCAATGCTTTGTTCATTCAACAGTTTTTACTGATTGCCCATTATGGACCACATACTGTTAACATCAAAAAAAAGTAGAACTCATTGTCTAAGATAAATCAGAATTTCATTAATGATTTATCTGGCATTCCAGCCTCAACGACTGCTTTGATTATGGTATTTAAGAATTTAGATTTTCTGGTAAGAGTTACTCTGAAATAGGCATGAGTGGGGGCATTCTAAGGTAAATTTCAGAAGTTGACAAAAGGTGACCATAGGGTATATTTTGTTTATAGAAAGACTGTCATTTGACAGAAACAAAGAGTCTACTACTAATACTGCTTCTAAAACCCAGCACTTTGGAATTTGTGTGGGCATACAGTATTTTTCCCTTAATTGTCATCTTAATGTAAGTTTTACCCATACAGTCCAAAATCCCTTATCTGCAATTCCAAAATTAAAAAATCTGAAAAAAACAAGTTTTTTATAATTTATTTGGTGACATAGCCTGACCTGAAATGAAGTGAGGCTATTTTTAGTCTGTCAGTCTGTGAACATTTCTCACTACAGAAATACTAATATTTGATCATGGGAATGAGATGCCCTATGAGTATTAGATGACACATCTACCACATTACTTTTTTGTAAGTCCAGAAATTTTCAAATTCAAATCAATTTTGCATCAAGATTTTGAATATGGCATTGTAGACCTGAATACTAATTAAGACAATCTCAGGAAAAAATACAACTAAGAATGAATGTCAGTGTTCACATAAATTCAGTGCTTCAACAACTTACATAAACAGTTTATTTTGCTTTTCCTTATTCTTCCCATATATTTATACATTATCATCTTTGCAGTCAGATTTGCAGAAAAAACATCACTTTTCTAATGAAATTAACTCCTTTTTGGAGAGCTTTCTTTTCGTAAGTGAAACAAATCAGTAGATGTTAAGGGGCTTATAATTCCCTTTTGTTCCTTGAGTATCAAATTAAGCAGGTGTCATATGTAATTATTCAATTAATTGAGAGGCAACTTACCTCTTCTTCAGCTAAATTATAGTCATCCAAAGGCTGAAGAACCACCATCCTCCAGCTGTTGAAGATACAAACCAATTTCAAACAGCTTTTATTATCTATGTAAATTTAGCAATTCTCTCTAAGCACAGCTAAATGCAGTAGTGTTTTCTTGGTACTTCATAATTCAAATGGTTGTCTTTTTTAAAATACATTTCTTTTTAAAAGAAAAAAATACTTATGAGAAATGCACAAGGAGAAGAGGAGGCTTTCTTTTTGGCCTTACAGTGAACAGTCTCTCTGCACAGCTGCATTTTATACCTACTAGACTAAGTTTGAATTAAGTCAGTGGTATGCCGGTAAACTAGCTCAGGAGAAAAGAAGTAAAAGCCCTCATTTGTAGCATTTGCTAGTTTCTTTGATGTAAAGACCAACTATAGCCTTTTTCGAACTACCAACAGTTTAACATCTAGCTCACAGAATTCCTCTATATTTAACAACCAGCTCTGCTATGAGCCAGTTCCAGCATTACCGCACACTGTGAAAAAGTTATTCCTTATTTATGCAGAATACATCAACAGATCCTCTGTAGGGTCTCTCGTAATACTGCGTAGAGTACTAAGAATTCTCTTAATACCTCATAAAAGTTATGAAATTATCTAGAAAAGAGATGGGTAGGGATTACTGGAGTTGTCTCCCACTCATATTGCTGTTTCCAGTCTCCTCTATCCCTACTTAATAGTGCCAGATTCATATTCTTAAGAAACTGCCTTCACCATTGCTAAAAAAGAATTTGACTAGCTTCACTGCCAGTAGGAAACAGATGTGTGTATGGTATTCAAGGACCTCCACAGTCTGGTTCTAACGTTTCCAGCCTTACCTCCTTTTATCACTAACACAAAACCTCAATCTCTGGCTTAGCCTTGTGCATGTGTCTCTGTGCCTTTGTTCTGATTGGCTCCCTGTGTGAATACCCTCTACCTTCCAGACTTCTACCCTGGTCCTTACTGTTCTATCCTTTGAACTCATCTTCCTGTTTAATGTGTTTATTGCTGACTTGGCATCAAAATATTTGTCTTAGACTCTGAATACCTCATGCAAAAGTAGTAGCTTTCTTTGAATTCTTTTTGCAACCATGCACAAACTTCCATCTTTAAGGGCAAGGATTGTTGCCGTAGTTATTTACATCCCTAAATTAACTTTTAGTGTCATACCCATAATAAAACCAACCAAACCCAGGGCCTTCAAGTCCATTCCAACTCATAGTGACCCTACAGGACAGAGTACAACTGCCCTGATAGGGTTTGCAAGGAATGGCTGGTGGATTCAAACTGCTGACCTTTTTGGTTAATAGCCAAGCTCTTAACCTCTGCACCACATACTAGATAAGTAAATATCATTGAGTGAAAAACTCTCAAGAGTGCTACAGTCAGTTTAGGAATTCCCAATTCTTAATAAGAACTGAAATGTGAAGTGATACTGTATGGCTCTTTCTTCAGCATAAGTAAAAGTTTTTTTTCACCATTTTCCTTCCATGATTATTTATACAAGTGGGAAAGGAAAGGGGGGCATCCTCTTTTATTATAAATTAAAAATCTAACATCACTCTGAAAATTTAAATTTATTAAAAGGAAGGAAGAAAAAAGACGTGTGTACATACCTTGGAGTAAGTATTTCCTTATATTGGAGTTTCTCCAACTTAGCTGGGGCCACTAATGACATGGGAATTACGATGTTATCTATGTCATAAGAACTCTCACTTCTCAGTCTCCGTCTGGCAGTATTCTGCAAAACAAGATTGCAGCAGTTTTAGAGAGCAGCCTGTACAGTTAGTTACCTGCGGTGATCCCCTCCTTTCATGAGTTAGGTATGCAAAGAGTTTTGTAAATATACTGTTACAAATCTGGCTACACAATGTTAAGAGAAACAAGCAAGCATAACCTATCTTCAATAAACCAATCTCTCTGGATAGGTATGTAATGTATATCTGTGTGTGTACAAATACAAGACTGTTGACAAGACTATAAAAGATGTTAATGCCTTAAGAGTCTGTCAGAAAAAAAAAGGTTAACATAAGCACCCCAAGTGCCAATAAAATGGTCATTTAACAAACTCACTTTTTATTAGGAAAGGCTATGAAGTATATTTTGGTGAGATATTTGGGAAAGACTACTGTCTTCATTTACGTGTTCCTGGTCCCTGAACCTCATTCTGTCCTTCCTAAACCCTCCTTCCTTTCAACTTCTCTACTCCCTGGCCAGGTGACAGAAAAACAAAACAGAAAAAGGAGACAAGTTTGAATTCTATTTAGGCTATATTTAGCTTCATGCTGTGGAGCAGGGATGGTCATAATGAAGTTCAAGTTTTCACACAGAAAAGAAGCCATAACCAAGGAGTATGGAACTATCTGATTCCTAGTTTAAAACAAAAATTATTTAGTCCAAATTCATTACTTCCTAATAAGATAGTTTTAAATATGCTAATATGTATACTATTAAATAAGGGCTGTTACAGATAGCGAAATAATCTACGAGATATATATATATATTTAATCAGCTGGTTTTAAAGTTCAACACAGAAAAAAACTTTAGACCTCAACATACAGAAAAAACCTACTTGTGATGATGAATTCTGGGTTCTTGCTATAACGTTGACATTAGTAACAGCAGTAAAACTGCTGTGGGAACCTGGTTCTGTGTGTTGAAAAGCAAATTCTTCAAATCGAGTTCTTTCTCCTGCCATGGAAAGAGCCGTTAAGAATGTCTCACATTAAATGTGACTGATAAGTTTTATTTGAATTTTCCTAATTTAGGTGACAAGTGATTCGTTATTTTTTTTAATATATCAGAAAACAACATTAAGGAAATAAGAACCTCAGCCACAGTCCCATCGTAATTATCTGATACTCTTACCTGTTCTCTCATTTTTTATATCTTTGACTTTTTCTTTTACTTTCTGAAGATTTCCTTCTGACCATTCTATTGATTTTTTTTTTTTAAATTTTTACTAGTAGAGAACTATTTTCCAAAAGTTCTTGTTTTCTGGTGTTCATTTTTTATAGCACCCTGTTTTTGTTTCATGGATGAAATTTTTCTTTCTGAGGATGATTAGAAGTTTACTTCTGTTCTCTATTATCTGCTTCCTCCAAGTCCCTCCTTTTTTTTCCTGTTTATTCTGTTCCCTTTTCTTGTGTACATTTATATAGTATTATTTACTGCCCTTATTTTACTTTACTATGGATCTTAAAAATATTTTCCTATATAGTGTAAATAACTATTAATTTCTTAAAATCTAATACCCAGTCCATACTCACATTTTTCCTATTAAATAAAAAAGTGTCCTTTAATGGCTAATATGTTCAAATCAGGACCCACACATTGAAACTGGTTATTATCTAAACTTCTTAAAATCCAGAATAGCCCTACTTTTCATGACAGCAACTTGTTAAAGCAGCTGACCAAATGTCCTGCACTTTGGGAGTTGTCCAGTTAATTCTTCATAGTTATTTCACTTGTTCTTCTATTCCTGTATTTCCATCAAAGTGGAAAGAAGTTCTAAGGTCTCAATTCAAGTGAAACATTGTATCTTAGATGATGCATATTTCATAATGCATCTTATTAGGAGACACAAGTATTTTTAAGAGTGAGGCACTAAAAAGCATATGGAAACCTCTGGACATGAGTGAGAGTTTGTTAATTTTGTAGGTGATTAGGTAGTGATTTGGTCTAAATGTGTTAAGATGTGTTAAGATCTCTACAACTGCAGTCTAGTACATCTTGGACATAGTATTTTCTAATATATACTTGATATTACATCTGGAGAATACTCAAGTAATGTATATAGTGTTAGATCTCCTGAACAATGAACGAGAACCAAAAGATGATGTAATTTGCTATTCAATATATATGTTGCCTTTTTTTTTTTTAATACCATTGTCTGCAGTAATTATGGCAATTGTCCTTCCCAAATCTCCACAACAAACCCCACTCTGAGTCTAGAACACAACCATGGAAATTGAGTCCTGTCCAGGAGGACAGCTAGCAAAAGATAAACTCTAGTCAGGGAACACGGGAAGGGAATGCCATATTTTATAGCACTAGTGAGCATGTCCTCTTTTTAACCTACCTAATGCCGTTTCACTCAAATGTCTTTTCTTTCTTCCCTGTAACAGTTGTGCAGAAGATTCTGACCTTATTTGAGGCTTACATGTAGGTGAATATCCATTTCTCCACTGATTCAGAGAAGTACGATGTACTAAAATAAACGAAAAGAAAGTTCAACACAAACACATAATGAACATGTTAATCTGTTTTACTTATTACATTGCAGAATTTTAAGATTACAGTTCAACATGACTTATATGCTTAAGTACCAAGATTGAAAACAATTTACACAGGATAGGATTCCTTAAAAACATCCTTAGGAAGTTCATAATTCTTTCTATATTTGCTCTATTATTTGAAGGAGATGTAAAGAGGAGGTGATACATTCTCAAAGTTTTCCAAATAGAGTTAAGATTGGTTGAGATCTGTAAATTTTGGCTAAACACGATCAGAATCCTTTAGTTAGCTCCTGCTTACCCTTAAATCTGGAAATAATTCAGGACAGATTTTACAGGGTCACAATAGACTGGGACTCCTTGAAAACAAAAACTAGATTTCATCCACCTCTGACAGCCCTGCACCATCCTTTCACTTTTTTAAAAGAATGAATTTAACATTAAGTCACTTAACACCTCCACACCTCAGTTGCCTCATCTGTAAATTAGGGATTACCCCAGGAATTCAAGGTTATGGAGATTGAATGAGTTAATTCTTGTGAATGTCATTAAAAGGGTATCTGACATGATCAAGTGGTCAATAAATAGTAGGTGTCAACATCATGACTACTATTGTCTGTCTGAATCCGTATGTCTAGTAGTGGATTAATGACCAAATTGGCTTCTTTTTTGAAGGGTTTGGAGATGTGGAAAGAAATAGAAATGCATAGGCTGAAGTGCCAAACTCTCACCAACACTGAAATAAACAAAGAGCATGGCCTACCAGCAGTGACTAGGATTCTGATTTCAAGAAGACAAAGCACCCTAAAAATGACAGACAAGATTTTTATATGTCAACATTTGGCCATATACATCCACATTTGGAAGCGAAAAAGGGAACTGGGTAAGTAGAGCAAAATTTCTGAGGAATCTCTGGAAAGACTAAAACCATATGGAATTTGACTGAAGAGGAAACGTAGAGTAGAAGCACATGGGAAAATACTGCCACAAAAGGTGCTCTTCACCTGGAGAGGGAATCGGAGCAGGACAATTGTCTGGTGTAGCCGACAGGATGACTACACATGCCCACACCCTGGCCACGCTACTTGATGAGGTTATCTGTCTCAACAGATGAAATAATCTGATGGTTTAGGGCAGAGAAATGGATGGGGTGGAGACAGAGGGCACTGCCCAAGTGCCTCACCTTGAAACATGCCCTGCTCATCCCTAATTCCCTCTGAAAATAGTGTAGAGGGCAAATTACTCCTCCCATCGAGAGGATCCGATATATTAGTGGTGGTACTCTTAACAGGGAACATCAACTTTAAAGATGAATACACAAGAGTCCAAAAATTTGAGGAATACCAACACCACAAAACAGTGTACAAGCAACAAACAGAAGAACCATCTCAAGAAATAAGTTAGTGGAACATTCACAGAATACCAATTAACAGGTCTTTCCTATTACCAAGAAATAGGGGACAGCCCCTTTAGAACTCAAAAATGGAAAATACAGTTACCGAAATTTAAAAACAAAATAATTGGGCTCAACAGAATGGACTCAGCTGAAAATCACCATCAGTAAGCTAGAAGAGTAATTCCACAATCCAGAGCAATAAAGAGAGTGGAAAATAAGGTGGACAGACCAAATGGAGAAAACAGAAGAGAGTAGAGATAATGAAGGGGCGGCAATAGTTGAAACAATGACAGCCAAGAGTTTTTCCACAATTACATTAACCTTGAGATTTCACAGAATTCACTTGTGTCAAACATTGCAAATGCAAAAAAATCAGCATATGAAAGATGAAGATACCCTAAAAGTTACCAAAGAAGGGATAAAAGATTACTGCAAAGGAATGAGAATCATGGGACACACAGCAAAACTGGATGCAAGAAAACAAAAGACTTTAAAGAGTGGAGGGAAGGTGTGATAGGCAGAATTCTAAGATTGTCCCCAAGACTTCACACCAACCCAAAAAAGAGAAAAAAGATGTTAAACAGAAAAAAATACGACAGCAGGAGTAAACTAATTTCTTAAAAAAGGGAAACTAGAATTGTGCAAGTTAGGTTTTAAATTTATGTATGCTTGGCCCAGGTAGGTATTACAAGTTTGTGCCTACTTTTGTTTTAATGAAACCTTTTGCTGGAGTATTTTAAAGCAAATCCCAGACAATTCACCCCTCTTGTTTTCTAAAAGCAATTCACCACCCTCGTCTTTAGAGGCACATCAAGCTTTGTGAAGAAACCTTACCCTTCACAAAAAGTAATGTTTTTTCATTTAATTTTACTCGAGTATTTCCTTCACATTTATCATTTTTCATCTTATTCTTTGGTCTCCCATAAGGTTGCAATGGACCCTTTAAATAGCAGAAAATATATGACAATTTCAGAATCTAACTCCAGCCATTACTTTCACCTGTCCTATTGATAATAACCCTTCCCACATTACAATTCTTTCTCTCCCAAATCCTCTCCTAGATTCCATCCTAAAACACTACATCTTGACCCAACATCTCATATCTCCTGCCTTCCCTTTCATTTCTTCATTCAATAAAGTATGGGGAGGCAATTATATGCCAGGCACTTTGCTACACCCTGGGGATACAATGCTGAGAAAAAACAGGCACAGTCCTTGCCCTTTATATAGTTTACAGGCATTAGTTAAATAATCTCAAAGAAATGTAAGTAAAATTGCAACTGTAATGTGTGAGAGAGAAGAGAAGCACATTATGTTACTGAGAGGATATCACTGAAGGATCTGACCTAGTAAGAGCTCTAGGAAAGGCCTCCCCAGAGGTAGTGAGAGATTAGCAAGGTGAACATAAATAGTTGGTGACAAGAGGAAGAAAAAATAGGAAGAGGGAATAGCATGTGCAAAGGCCATCGCAGCAGGGAGCCGGGAAAATTGGGGAACTGAACACCAGCAATGTAATGGAGAAAGTAAGGGAACATGATCAACTCTGAGGCAGGCAGGAGCCAGCCTGTGTAGGTAGGGGGTAGGGTAAGGAACAGGTGTGACATTTGTACTTTGAAAACATCACACTGGCTACAATGACTGGAGGAACTGTATAAAATAAAAGATCATTAGGTTGGATTGTGAAAATATAGAAATGAAGATAGAAGAGCAAATACGAAAGCTATAATATCACATTGACAACTTGGTGATGGATTTAGATATGAGAGTGCAGATGAAGACTGAGCCCTAGGTTTCTGGCTTTCCTGGGTGGTTTGCAGTGTTATTGTTCCTTCTGTCTCATCTATTCACTCTTAAAAATAGTAATACTTTAAAAAAAAATTGTAATACTTTTTATTTTGGCATAATTTTGTAATTGTAGAAAACTTGTAATAATACAAATAATTCCCACATACCTTTAACTCAGATTCCCCAAAGGTAAACATTTTATCACATTTGCCTTACCTCTTTCAAACTCAGATGAGATTAAGTTACTGACATGATGCCCTTTTACCCCTTAATATTTTAATGTGTATTTCTCAAAAATAAGGGCATGCTTTCATGTAACTACACAATTTTAAAAGTCAAGCGATTAATATTATCATCTATACCCGTTGCTGTCGAGTCCATTCTGACTCATAGTGACCCTGTAGGACAAAGTAGAACTGCCCCACAGGGTTTCCAAGGAGCAGCTGGTGGATTCAAACTGCCAACCTTTTGGTTAGCAGCCAAGCTCTTAAACAGTACACCACCAGGGCTATCTACAGACCTATTCAGATTTCACCAATTTTCCCTATAATGTTCTTTATAGGAACTACTGGCTCATTCATTGCATTCAGCTGTCAGATCTCTTTAAAGTTTCTATATCTGAAATAGTTCCACCGTCTTTCCTTGTCTTTCATGACCTTGCCTAATGTGGTGAGTAGAGGCTCCTTATATTGGTTCTGTCTAGTTTTTCCTCTTGATAAGACTAATCATCTATTTACTCTTTAATACACAACAGTTTGGCATTTTCCTATTGTTGTTTGAACTCAGCAGTGGCTGTCATAATCTAATGGACAGTACAGGATAAATCCAAGCTCTTTCGTAAGGCACACAGAAATTTGCTAACTTCATCATCTACCACTTACCTTTACACAGTTTACCCTCCAGGCATACCAAGCTATTTGTATATCCTTGAACACATCACAATGTTTTGTGTATTTGTTTCCATTGTTTAAAACCTTGTTACTCAATGTGGGCCAGGAGCGTTTGAATCACCTGACAGGACCTTATTAGAAACGCACAATCTCCAGCCCCGTTCCAGACTTACTGAATAAGAATATGCTCTTTAACAGTATCTCCCAAGTATTTCATTTGCTCATTAAAGTTTGAGAAGCACTGATTTGGAATACCTCACCCTTCTTCCTCCGTAAATTCAAATTAAGTATTTGAAGCTACACATAGGCATCACCATCTTTCTGGAGTTCTTACCTTTTTCCCATCATCCTTAAATTCTCTTCCTCTTCTTTCCCCTAGGCAGATTTATACAGTCCCTCTTTGTTACAGAATATTTTACTCATACATATCTGTGCCCATCACAATATATAATAGTTATCTGTGTCAGCTTCTCCCTATTATAATTTATTTGATTTCCTGTCATTCACCTTTGATGATTCTAGTCTGCTCGGCATATAGTATGGGCTCAAAAAATGTTGAACTTTAGTTTTATGTAATTTTATAGAAATCACGAAGAAAAATTAATGGCTATTTAATTAAAGACAGATACGTAATGTAGGATGAAACCTGTTGTTTGTTAGCTGCCATCAACCTCACACACAATGAGATTGAACTGTTGTGATCCATAGGGTTTTCACTGGCTGATTTTTGGAAGTAGATCACCAGGCCTTTCTTCCTAGTCTTAGTATGGATGCTCTGCTGAAACCTGTTCAGAATCACAGCAACACACACAAACCTCCACTGACAGATGACTGGTGGCTGCACTTGAGGTACATTGACCGGAAATTGAACCAGATGGAAGGTGAGAATTCTACCACTGAACCAACCACCTCTGCCCTCAAAATAATTATTTGGAGTGGGAGTGGTAGGGAATGAGAGATTGGGACACAAAATGAGAATTGAGTACTTTGCCTATTATTACTGTAGACTTCAACTCAAATGCATTCCACCTCTGTCTTAATTTCCCATTACTAACATGTCCTTACATTATTGATAGATTACTATTATTCTGTTTAACATATTTACATTGCCTTCATTTTTTAAGTTAGATAAGCAGTAGGGCAACATTAGAAGAAAAATATAATCACCTAATCTTACCTAACACAACAGTTTCATTTTTGCATACTCCATTTCAGTCATACATACATATATTTCATAATTCGTAGTACATTTTAAATATGAAATCATAATTTGTAATTTCAGTAAGAATGTATAACAGCATTTTATCTCATAACTCACTTTTTTTTTTTTTAATGGTTGCCTAACATTCTTCTGATTAGGGATAATATCATTTAGCTATTCCCTAGCTTTTGGACATGACATAATCATAGTGATACTGCTGTTATGGAATTCTTATATGCATACATATTTTTCCATTTTAAAAAAACATTAGCCTCAGGATAAATTCATTGAGAGTAATATGTCATGAAAAAGTACCCAAACATATCCTATACTTGCCTATTCCTTCTTTAGTGTTTTTCCCTATGCATAGACAATTGTTCCTTGTCCTTGGTGCTCTCTTTTTTTTCATTCTCTTTAACTTTTTACTGTAGAAAATTTTGAAGGAGAATAGAATAATGAGTGCCATGTGCCTATCCTTCAGCTTCAGCAATGACCAACTTATGACCTATCTTGTTTGTCTCTCTCCCCACCAATGTTTTTGCTGGAGTTAAGCACATCCCAGATGTATCTTTTCATCTATAAATATGTCGGCAGTTACATGTGACAAAATTAACAATAATTCATTAACATTATCTAACATCCAGTCCATGTTAAAATTTCTTTGATACTGTCCAAAAATGTGTGTATGTGTGTATAGCTGGTTTGTTCAAATTAGGACCCCTGCAAGGTTCACATGTTTCATTTGGTTGATATAAAAACATGTTTACATGTTAAAAGTAAAATTGTTTCATCCATTCTTTGATAAATATGTTTCCATCCTTGCATGAACTTGTAAGATTTTTTTTTTGTAAGATATTTTTAAAGGTTGCATAGTCCGCTGAAGTGGGTATTTTAACCGTACCTCTATTATGCTCTTCAAGTTGTTTCTAATTTTTCACCATCACAAATAATGTTGTGAATATATTTGTGAGTAAAGGCAGTTTCATATTTAGGATGTTTTCTTACACTAGGTACTTGAAAATGGAATTACTTGGTCAGAATAGAGAGTTAACAATTCAGTAAGCATTCATTGTGAGTGGATACAAAAGTAATAAGGTGAGTTTTTTTACATCAATGAGTATATACAAAATTAAATATTTTAAAGGCTTCCCATACACCTCCTAGTGCTTCCCAAAAGGCTTGTATCAATTCTTAATGTTAGCTAAAATATTTGAGGGTGCTGATTTTACTACAGCCTTGCCAGAACTGATTGTTTACACTTATTAATGTAATAAGCCAAATATTAAACTTAGCACAGTATCTGCTACATAAGCTCTCAGAAAATGGTAGCTAGTATAATTTTCATTATTATTATCATTACTATCACCTAGTTTTTCTTCTAATTCTTTTAAGACATCATTTTAATATTTAACTATTTAATCCATCTTAATGTATTTTAATGACCATCTATTTAAGTTTATTTTAATGTGCTGTATGAAGTAGGGGTCTCACTTTAGTTTATATTTTCCAAAGAGTCATTATTTAATGCCACTTCTTGTACAGAAAGCAAAAGTTTGGTTAGTTGTTTAGAGCATGGACTGTGGGCCAGACTGCCTGTGTTTGAATCCTGGCTCTAACTACTCAATTGCAATACGAACACACGGGTCTGCCGCTAGGCTTTTTATTTACTTCCATTGATCTAGTTACCATTAGTACCACACTACTTTAATGATTATAGCTTTATAATACATTTTTATATCTGGCAGTATAATCTCCTGCTTACTGATTATGTTTTATTGGCTGTTCTTCCATCTTGTTTCTCTGAGATAAACTTCAGAATAATTTTGTTCTAAAAAAATGCCTCTGTGGTTCTGATTAGAATTATGTTACATTTATAAATTAATGTAGAGAAAACTGACATCTTAATTACTGTTTTCTGACTCAGGTCCTCTTCTCACATAGGCAGGTCCTCTTTTTTATGTTCCTCAGTAAACTTTTGACGTTTTCTTCATGTAGTTTCTTGTTAGGTTTAATCCTAAATATTTTATATTTTCACTGTCCATGTGTCTAGGATAATTTATTCCTTTACATATTCTAAGTAGTTATTGCTGGTGTTTATAAAAACTACTTATTTTTATAAATTTATTTTGAAATCTGCTACCTTTCAGAACTGTGGTTCCAACAGGCATTCAGTTGATTCTTGAATTTTTAAGGTAGATAATTATTTCATCTTAGTTTTTATGAATTTTTGATGTTGAGAAGATTTTAGCTTTGACAAAATATGTTGATTTATTTTCTTTCTTATTCTGATTGCTTCCAAGCATAGACAATGTCCCCTCTCCCATTCAGAGCATTCATAAATATTACATTCTAATTTCTTCAAGGTTTATAATTTTAATGTGTTATTTGAAATTCTTGGAACCAATTATAATTTATTTTGATACATCATATGAAATCAGTGTGTAAACAAACTTTTCCCAAAAAGACTAACAATACTGATTATTGAATAATTCTTCGTCTTCCCATTAATTTACAATTCTTTCCTTATCATATAATAAAGTATGAGCTATGCAGTTTGCTCCATGGATCTACTGTCCTAAATGCAAGAAAAATAGATTCTGTGATATTATAGATCTATGTCATGTTTCCATATGGGGTTGGGCTTGATTCTCTCAGTACTTTTTTCAGCAACTCCTTTTAGATTTCCGCCTACTTATTGTTCCAATGGGCTTTAGAATTATTTTGTTAACTTAAATTCTAACACAACATAAAGTTACACTGCATTAAACAAACTAACATGAAGAATTGACACCCTTATAATATTAATCTTAACATTCAAGAATGCAGTGTCTCCCCATTTATTTAAATTTTATTTTATATTTGTTAATAATACTTAATAATTTTCATTTAGTAAGTATCACACATTTCTGGTTTTTTTCTGTGTACACATGTGTGTGCACGTGTGCGTGGGTGTGTATGATTTGTGAAGAGCGAATATTAAAAATGTAGGATTTACATTTATTCCTTTGTTAGATTTTATTGCCTTAGAAAACAGAAGTACTAAGTATGAAAGATGTAAAAAGTGCAAGGTTTGTAAATGTGACATACCAGGTGATGGTGATATGACACACTCTCCTACACATTTATTTTCAGCAAGATCTCCTTTTATTTCAGTCTTTTTTAACAGTGTTTCAAGATGAAAATGAAGAGGCACATCTAGAAAGATAAAGTAAAAAAACAAGTATTTTCAGTAACTCTACTCTTTATAGACTGTAATATTAAGATTGCTTTTGTCACTATGAGTCGGAATCGACTCGACGGCAACGGGGTTTTTTTCCTATAAAAATAGCACATAAGCTTAGAAAAATAAGCAAAAGTTTAAAAAGTCACAACTGTCAGACATAGTAAAATACTTTTTCAAGCATGTTGGTAGCAGTATTTTGGAAACATCCAATTATATGTACTAGATAAACAAAAAACTCACAGATGAACAATGCCACAGTACATCATATACAATGAATAGTAATTATAAATATTAAGAAATACTGTTTACAGATGAGTAGAGTAAATGTGGCAAAGATGTTTTTAAAAAAACATATAGTCAAACCCAGCAGACTCTAAGTTCATTCCATACCTTCCCCATAAAGATTGCATTTGAAATAATGAGGTTTCCAAAAGATGTGATTACACAGTTTTAATTACTTGGGGGAAAACACTATAATTCAGATGCAAGCGTTCATGAAAACATCAAGTTTCACATTCCCTTTGTTTGCTAGTGTTATGATCACAAATGTATCTACTTTTACAAAGATAAAACACCTAATGACAAACTAACTGTTCTTTACATAGAGACTTAGAGATGCTGTAGTATAAGGCTAAAATTAATATTATGTGCTGCCTTGACATCTAAAACCAGGAGGGGCTCCAATGGCTTAACTGCAAGTCCCCCTATCCTACTCCTGTGGATAAGGTCCCTAGTCAAATAACCCTCCTTATCATGGGGACGGAAACTCTGGTGGCACAGTGGTTAAGTGCTACAGTTGCTCACCAAAAGGTTGGCAGTTGGAATCCACCAGGCGCTCCTTGAAAACCCTATGGGGCAGTTCTACTCTGTCCTATAGAGTCGCTATGAATTGAAATCGACTCAACGGCAATGGCTTTGGTTTTTGGTATCATGCAGACAGGGACAGTACCTGTTTATTTCTGAGTAATGGACTTCAGTTCTTTGCCAGCCTGCAGAATTATTCAAATAAGCCACTCATATCCATCCTCCTGCAAGAACAAGGGGTCACTCCACCCTCTTGTTACTATAACACCTGCCTCCTACATTCCCTACTTGTTTACTCTGTTGCTGAGTGTAATCCTTATGTGGCCCTGCATGGCATGCGGTGTCCTACTCTCCTGGGCTATGAGTATTTGTGACTGATAAACTGCTGTTCATCTCATCTGCCTGTGTTTGATGTTATGTGAGATCGGCCATCTCTATAACCCTAGGACAAGAATCCCTCCTTCACTACTGAAATGAAGAGGACGGAAATAAAACAGGCGTTCAGTTTACTGTGCTTATATTCTATATTCTCACAACCATACAGGAGCTAAATAATAAAGTAGATGTGCTTCAGATTTGTTAGTTAAAGGTTGATATGTTTTAATGGCAGGAAACCCTAGCGGTGCAGTGGTTAAGAGCTACGGCGGCTAACCAAAGGATCGGCAGTTCGAATCCACCAGGCACTCCTTGAAAACCCTATGGGGCAGTTCTGCTCTGTCCTACAGAGTCGCTATGAATTGAAATCGACTCAACGGCAATGGACGACAGATACCCATGTATAGCTATGCAAAGATAATGAGTTTGTGAGTATCACCAGAGGGTTTGTCCCAAGGGAAAGAGATGGGGTGGATTTGAATCCTAGCACTAGAATATGATCATATGAAAAAATGAAAATGAGAATATAAATTTTCTCCCTTAAAATGCTGCTTAAACATTTTACAGTCCTTTTGTTTTCCAATTACCTAAACATAAGTTTGTTTCTCCAAAGAAATATCGTTGGCTGTTATAATATCACCTATTCTACCACTGTTCTTCATGAGTTGTGGGAAAATGTGATGCAACTACGGATGCAACTTGTTCTACCCATATGCCTTCTTTAGTACCCACAGTGACCTAAGGACTTTCATCAAAATATTTCATGACACTCTATTGCACTTACTAGTTTACATCTCAGTTGTCTTAAGCAAAATGCAAGTACCTTGAAGGCTTTATTTGTATTTATGCTCCTAACACCTAGTATCTTGTTGCTGTTGTGTGCCATTAAATTGATTCCGACTCACAGCAAACCTACGTGACAGAGGAGACCTGCCCCATAGCGTTTCCTAAGCTGTAATCTACAGAAGCAGATTGCCAGGTCTTTTTTCCCGCAGAGTGGTTGGTGAATTTGAACCACCAACCTTTCAGTGAGCAGCCGAGCACTTAACCATTGTACCACCAAGGTTTCTCTCATACCTAGAATAGTGCCAAGTATATTATTGAGATCTTTATTAAATCTTTATTGAATGCAAGGAGTGGATAACTCTAATTCGTAGGTAAAGAAGCTAATTTTATTTATTAGAGGGGACATAAGAGACTTAGGATGCAAGACATTTATACAAGGTCTCAGGGTTTACTAATAAGAAAACAGAAACAGAGGAAAGAGTAATGGTTAGAAGTATGGCTCTAGAGACTGATTACGTCAGTTCAAATCCTGGCTACATCATTTACTAGCTGTGTAATCCTGGACAAATAACACCTCTAAGTTCCAATTTTCTCATGGAAGATGAAGATGGCAACAGTAGCTATCTCATGGGGTTGTGTGAGAATTAAACAAGGTAGTGTAATGTGCTTAGTATATATAGGGCTCCATATATGCTAAGATAAAATTTTGGCTGCATTATTGCTATTGATTATTGTTTCTCATTGTTAAGGTTTCTTCAAAGATGGAATAAAATAGTTCCTGCCAGCAGTTTATTTCAAAGTATGGTGTAGCTAAGAAACTACACTAATACTGGTAAAAACTAAACTAAGATTCAAGGCAGGTGCATAAGTTAAAAAAAAAAAAATAGTGCTTTACAAAAAGCAGTCACTTGATTTTAAGAATTTAGAAGATGATTAGAACCACAAGCTGAAAAGAAAACAAAAGCCAATTGGGATATTCCCCTGTAAAGAACAGAACCTGAGATGACCAGTGTGAAGGATGTTTCCTTTTTTCCCTGAATATTTACTTCAGTTCCAATACAGACAAGATGGGAAAGGTTCTAACAGAAACCAAGAGCTGGAAATTTAAAGCCACATTAGGGATGTGGGGACATACACATCTCCGTTACTCAGTTGTATATTAGAGAATACTCTTGAAGTTCAAAAGTTGACTATACCTAAACATGGACAATTTTCTTCCCTCTTAGTGAAATTCAGTGTAGATTTCAAATAAAGGAATAATACAAGACAGAGAAAATAATCTCCACGTAAAACAAAACATTAGAAAAAGAACACAGAATTATTATTAGTGAGAAATAGCAGTCATGTTACCAATAAAATGCTAAAAATTTAACAGTCAAAAGGAGATCAGAGGTTAGTTATTTTCCAAGGTAAATCAAATTGGTTTCCAAGGGGTTAAAAAATCAGCTCACACAAATAGAACATTAACTCAATATGTGACTAGATTAGTTCCTCTAAGAGAAATGTTTGGTTCTAATATCCAGTGATAAAATAATTGATACAATAAAAATTTATTAGCATCCCTGCATTTATAGGATTAGATTTCACAACAGAAAATATTTAGCTACTTAGAGATTTTATATGAAGAGGCTTACCTGATGGTAGTGATAGAACTGAGTGGAAAGAGGAATCCAACTCTGATACATGTTCTCTTAATAGCCGAGACTTTGAGTTGTGTTCACAGCTACTCCAAGTTGAAGCTGAGTGCAGGAAAGGCATTTGTGTGCTATTTAAGAATGTTGTTTCTTTTGAAGGCAAAGTCTGCAAGGGGAAAAAAAAAAGAAATTTAAAGACTTCATTTTTGCTTGAAAACAGAGTCAGAGAGTGTGCAACAGTTAAAATACAGTATCTGAGTGACACCAGAAGGAAGTTCTGGCTGAATAAGTCATCTTGGAGAAAGAGCTTCAAAATTATGTAGAATAGGTGAGAGACACTATAGATGAATGGGCCATGAATAGGGTTTGACTAACCCCTTTCCGGTTTTTCAAAGTAAAGAGCAACGTCTATGAAAATGAGTCTTACACCTTAAGAAATCACGGTAGAGAGAAAAGAGTTTGAAGAACTTTGGATCAAAAGAAAATGGTTACACAACAGATTAGTGAGAACTGTAAGTGATGGTGAGCAGGCACTATATTAAGACCAGTTGCGTACACTGTGTTCCATCTTGCAACCTGTTATGACTAATGAATGAAACTGGAGTCTGTCTGAAATTCTAATTTTAGACAATCTACACTGGAATGACAGTGAAGTACTCTAAGTACCTTATAGTTTACGTTGAGTAAAGTTTAATCAAAAATTAAAGTAATTTTAAAAGATAGGAAATATGCAACATATTACATGACTGAGTTTCTTAAGATAAAGCTATGATTTGAGGCCAGGAATCTCAAGAAAACCATGTTACTAAAGTAAAAAAGTTATGTTACTACATTAAAAAAAATACGTATTATTCCACTTAATGACAGATTTTTAAATTATTTGTTCTAGTTATAAATTAGTATACAAGCAATGAAAAAACTATAAAAGAGGGTTTTTTTTTTAAATTAATGGAGTTCACTTGGACTCTCTTCCTTCACTTTTACCTTTACCTTCTACAATAACAGTAGGGCTGATCTGTTTATGTAACTTATCTTTAAAATGTTTATAGTAACTGGGATCTTCAGATGATATTTGTAAACATTTTTTTAGCCTTTAGCCTTGTCAACTTTCTTGAGTTTGAGTTTTCAGGATAACTTTGGCATTTCCTCTGTTTCCACAGCACCTTAGGCATACCTCTACCATAGTATTCAACTAGATTTTCTCAGGACAATGAGTTCCTTGAAGGCTAGGAGTACAATTTGTTGTATCTTGTATTCCTCAGGCCTGACAGTCCCTGACATATAGTCAGAAGTTGAATGTTGACCAGCTGAATTTTATCTGTTTTTGCTTTCAAAAATAAAAATATCATGTGAATAAAACATTTCAAAAGTATGTATACCTGAGACTATTTCTTCCTTTGGGACAAAACAAACAGTCCCTGCTTAGGTATGCTAAAATTTACCAACTAATCATTTCCCTTTACATTCCATCAGCCAGGGCTTAGGTCCTAGCTGCAAGGAAGGATGGGAAATGCAGTTGCTATTCTGGGTGGTCAAGTAAATTAATGAGTTTTTATAAAAAGATATAGTATGTGGATACATGATTACAAGAATATGAGTCACTTTCAAGATTTATTCCAATGATATTAGATATATATATTTACCAGTAATGGTTGCTATTTATTACTTTTACAAGATGTACTGGTACTTTTGACTCACTCCAGAATTATTTATTCTTTTTTGATGTACTTTAGAAATGTACATTTCTAAACTGAGAAATAAGATTTACTTGAAATTACCAAAAAAAAAAAAAAAAAAAAAATTGCTAAATCTCCCTTTTTCCATAGATGGCTAGAGCATTATGAATACACTTATTTTTCTCTTGCAATTTTCCAAGTACAGGAAACACATTAGCCAGTTTGAATCCTACATAATTATGAAGACAAGTGAGAGGCATTTAAGACAAGGTTTTTTTTCCCCCCTGAAGAGTAAGTGAGGCCCACGATAAAAAGGAATGAATGGAGAAAAAAAAGAAGGACCAAGAGATTCCTTTTTTTTCCTAAATAATTTATTTGTTGTTGTTGTTGTTGAGAATATACACAACAAAACATACACCAATTCAACATTTTCTACGTGTACAATTCAGTGACACTGGTTACACTGATTACCTTCTTTGAGTTGTGCAACCATTCTTACCCTCCTTTTCTGAGTTGTTTGTTTCTCCCCCCATTAATATAAACTCATTGCCCCTTAGATTTCCATCTAATCTTCAGAGTTGCTGTTGTCAATTTTATCCCATATAGACAGATTTTAAAAGCGCATAATGCTCAAGGTAACAATTCCCAAGACCAACTCTTCAGACAAAGATTAGACTGGACTATGGGACATAAACTGATACTCGTGAAGAGTGCGCTTCTTAGCTCAAGTAGATACATGAGACTAAATGGGCAGCTCCTGTCCAGAAGTGAGATGAGAAGGCAGAAAGGGTCAGGAGCTGGTTGAATGGACACGAGAAATCGGGTGGAAAGGAGAAGTGTGCTGTCACAGTATAGGGAGAGCGATTAGGGTCATATAACAACGTATATATAAATTTCTGTATGAGAGACTAACTTGAATTGTAAACATAAAGTACAACAATAAAATGAAAAATAAAAGGAGCATAATGCTCAAGGCAGACATTCTCTACTAGTTAAGCTAAACTATTGTTTGGTTTTAAGAAGACTTCTGGGGATTTTTGGTTTAAGTTTAGATTATCTCAGGGCAGTAATTTCAGGGGTTCATACAGCCTCTCTGGCTCCAGAAAGTATGGATTCCATGAAAATTTTAAATTCTGTTCTGCATTTTCCCTGTTTTTGATCAGAATTCTTCTGTAGATTCTTTGATCAAAATGTCCAGCAATGGTAGCCTGACACTGTCCAATTCTTCTGGTCTCAGGATAAAGGAAGCAATTAGCCTCATATTCCATCTCCTCCTCCTATTACCGACTCTCCTTCTTCCTGTGTTGCTCCAGGTGAATAGAGACCAACTGCTAGGCCATGGATGGCTGCTTCCAAGCTTTTAAGACCCTGGGCATTATATAACAAACTAGGAGGTAGAGCAGAAGCACTAAATACATTATTAGGCCAATTAACTGGGACGTCCCATGAACCCATGACCCTAAACCTCCAAACTATGGAACAAATTCCCAGGAGGTGTTTGGTTGTACATAAGCAACCTCAGCAGCTACTCTTTTTTTTTTTTTTTTTCTTTTGGTCATTGTAAATATATCACACAACTTTTGCCAATTCAACTTTTTACAAGTGTACAACTTATATTGACAGCAATTACATTAATCGGCTGTGCATACCTACCCTTAACCAATGTGATTTTTCTACCACCATAAACTGAAATTTAGTACTCCATAAGTAAAACCCACCCAACTTTCCCCTTCCCTACCACCCCTGGTAACCACTAATAAACTTTCGTCTCTATACATTTGCCTTTTCTTGCCTTTTTATATAACTGAGGTCATATAATATTTGACCTTTTGTAATTGACTTATTTCACTTAGCATAATGTCTTCAAGCTCCAAGCATACTGAAGCATGTATCAAGACTTCACTTCTCTTACTAGAGAAGCAAGAGATTCTTGCCAATTAAAATACAAATGTCTATAAGGTATGATCACTAATACCATGTACTACATAAAATTCAAGTGAAATAAAGCCTGAAAAGTATCTGATTTTTTTACTTTAATAATGAAATATGCAGTATATACAAAAGAATATAATTTATAGATAAGAATAATTTTTTGAGAAATACCTTATACCCACCATCCTACTTAAGGAACGATAACAATACCTTTGATGCCTTCTCGCTTTACCCTATGACCACATAAGCTTGTGACGAAGATTTTTTCCTTCCTTCCAACATCTGTGCTCTCCTTCTCCTTGTTCTAGAACCCCTGATTTTAAGCTAGGCACATTTCTCAAGCTTCCTTGCAGCTGAGTTTCTAGGTTCTAGCCAGAAGACCATGAGGGGAATTCATGTGTGCAATCTCCAGTAAGTAACCTTAAGAAGGTCACTTATTCATCCATTCTTCCACCTTGCTACTTGAGGCATGGTTGTGATGGTAATCATCTTAACCATGTGCATGAAGGTAACACTCTATAACGATAAAACCAAACAATAGGAAGAGCCTGGGTCCTAGATAACCATGTAGAGGAGCATAGTTGTCATGCCAGCCGTAGAATACATTCAGCCTCTTACAGAGAAAGAAACTTACATCTTGTTTATGTTACTATTTGGGGTTTCTGTTAAATGCCATTAAACCTATATCATATCTACTAAAATATCCTCCCTTAATCACACTGTTTCCTCACATTTCCAGGAGTACCTGATATCCTAAATTTTATCATTCTCTTGGTTTTCTTTAGTTTTCCACATAAGTATATGTATTACTATGTAATATACTGTTTAAATCTGCATGCTTTTAAAATTTATACGGAAAGAATAATGCTAAATGTACTTTCTTGCCTTTACCGCTCAACATCATGTGCATGAGGTTCATCATTCTTTTGTTTATAAATATCTGGGCATCTTCCAGTTTTTTACTAATAATGCTATAGTATAAGTATTATTATACTTGTCTCTTGGTACATGGCTGTAAGAATTTTTCTAGAGTACATTGCTAGAAGTGGAATTGCTGGGTTATACAAATGTATGCTCCCACGTGTCTGTCAGTTCGTTGTACTGTAGGGGCTTGCGTGTTGCTGTGATGCTGGAAGCTATGCCCCCGGTAGTCAGATACCAGCAGGGTCACCCATGGCAGACAGGTTTCAGCTGAGCTTCCAGACTAAGACAGACTAGGAAGAAGTACCTGGCAGTCTACTTCTGAAAAGAATTAGCCAGTGAAAACTTTATGAATAGCAGCGGAACATTGTCTGATATAGTGCCGGAAGATTGAGTCCCCCAGGTTGGAAGGCACTCAAAAGACAAGTGGGGAAGAGCTGCTTCCTCAAAGTAGAGTTGACCTTACTGATGTGGATGGAGTCAAGCTTTCCGGACCTTCATTTGCTAATGTAGCACAACTCAAAATGAGAACAAACGGCTGCAAACATCCTTTAATAATCGGAATGTGGAATGTACAAAGTATGAATCTAGGAAAATTGGAAATCGTCAAAAATGAAATGAAACACATAACCATCTA